CCTACTAGTGGTGGGCGGGGTAGATTCGTGGTGGGAGGCTCCTGGGTGGCTGAGGGGGCTTGGGGAAGGAGAGAACAGGTTTCTGGAAGATTAGGAGGGGCTCGGGGGGGGGAGAGAACAGGCTTTGCGGGGAGGAGAAGAGAACAGGTTCCTGGCAGGCTGGGAGGAGTCTGGAGGGAACAGGGAGAATAGGCTCCTTGTGGGTTGGGGGGAAGTCTGGAGGGGGTGAGAGAAGAAGGTTGGGCCCAGCGGGTAGTGATCAATAGCTCGATGTCAGGTTGGCGGTCGGTTTCTAGCGGAGTGCCCCAAGGTTCAGTTCTAGGACTAGTTTTGTTCAACATCTTTATTAATGACCTGGATGAGGGGATGAATTGCACCCTCAGCAAGTTTGCAGATGACATTAAGCTAGGGGGAGGGCTATATATGCTGGAGGGCAGGGATAGGGTCCAGAGTGACCTGGACAAATTGGAGGATTGGGCCAAAAGAAATCTGATGAGGTTCAACAAGGACAAGTGTAGAGTCCTGCACTTGGGACGAAGAATCTCAAGCATTGTTACAGGCTGGGGACCGACTGGCTAAGTAGCAGTTCTGCAGAAAAGTACTTGGGGATTTCAGTGGACAAGAAACTGGATATGAGTCACTAGTGTGTCTTGTTGCCAAGAAGGCTAATGGCATATTAGGTTGCATTAAGAGGAGTATTGCCAGCAGATCCAGAGACGTGATTATTCCCCTTTATTTGGCATTACTGAGGCCACATTTGGAATATTGCATCCAGTTCTGCTTCTCCTCTCCCCCTACTACAGAAAGAATATGGATGCACTGGAGATGGTCTACAGGAAAGGGGGCTGGAAATGATTAGGGGGCTGGAACACTTGACCTATGAGAAGAGGCTGAGGGACTTGGGCTTATTTAGTCTGCAGAAGAGAAACGTGAGGGGGGATTTGATAGCAGCCTTCAGTTTCCTGAAGGGAGGTTCCAAAGAGGATGGAGAGGCTATTCTTAGTAGTGACGGATGGCAGAACAAGGAGCAATGGTCTCAAGTTACAGTGGGGGAGGTCTAGGTTGGATATTAGAAAAAACTATTTCACTAGGAGGGTGGTGAAGTACAGGCAGTCCCCGGGTTACGTACAAGATAGGGACTGTAGGTTTGTTCTTAAGTTGAATTTGTATGTAAGTCGGAACTGGTACATATTGTAGGGGAAACTCTAGCCAAACATTTTTTTTAGTTTTGGATAAACCAAAAGAGCCACAGGAATGTGAATTCATTCATGTGAATGCTCCTATATTGCATTATACATATAATTCTCATAGCAATAAGTTAATAACATAGTGCAAATTGCTTCAGGGGGTAGCTGAGTTAGTTATTGTTATTTTCACTGGTTAATAACATAATAAAAGCATCCTGGTAAACTAATTTAGACTGATAAATAATTAAATCACTCAGGATTTTAATATCATGTGCCGTTAAAAGCCACAAGAGAGCTATAAAAGAGCCACTTGTGGCTCATGAGCCTCAGTCTGAGTATCTCCACACTAGGGCTGTGTCTACACTGGCAAGTTATTCCGGAAAATCAGCCGCTTTTCCGGAAAAACTTGCCAGTTGTCTACACTGGCCGCTTGAATTTCCGGAAAAGCACTGACGATCTAATGTAAAATCATCAGTGCTTTTCCGGAAAAACTATGCTGCTCCCATTCGGGCAAAAGTCTTTTTCCGGAAAACTGTTCTGGAAAAGGGCCAGTGTAGACAGCACAGTAGTGTTTTCCGCAAAAAAGCCCCGATCGCGAAAATGACAATCGGGGCTTTTTTGCGGAAAAGCGCGTCTAGATTGGCCACAGATGCTTTTCCGGGAAAAGTGCTTTTCCGGAAAAGCGTCCTGCCAATCTAGACGTGCTTTTCCGAAAATGCTTTTAACGGAAACCTTTTCCGTTAAAAGCATTTTCAGAAAATCATGCCAGTGTAGACGTAGCCTAGGGCTATGTCTACACTAGCGGCTTCTTGCGCAAGTAATATGCAAATGAGGCTAAGGGTGGAATATCACTGAGCCTCATTTGCATACCTAATGAGCCACCATTTTCTTCAGAAGAGGCTCTTGTGCAAGAAGGAGTGTCTACACTGCCCCTTCTTGCACAAGAAAAACCCTCTTGCACAATGCCGTTCTTC